TTAAAATTTAGTTACATATGCATGTATGTTAACTGAAATCTCGTTACGTGCAGTAATAGAATTTGGATCCGTGGACTGCCAGTGCACAGTGTACTTGGATTATGGCATCTCTGTTTTTGTCTAATTGTTGTTTCACTCAGTCGCCTTCCCAATCTTAGAAGTAGGATCTGTATATTACCTGTTTATCTGCTGTTTAATTTTCGTCAAGAGAAAATTAAAGATAATTTCGGAATCGAAAGATTCAATATCATACAATTATAATATTCGGCAATTCTTTTAATCTTAATTTCTAGTACTCTAAACTTCTGAAGTGCTATATTCTGAAATTCCCCGTATTACTAAAAGCAGCAAAATTAAAGGGAAAACGAGAAAAATACGCCTTGCATGGGGCCTTGCGTAAACTGAATGCTGTTTCATGAAAAAATGTCGTAAAGAGCTCGGAGACATCTCATTTTCTTCAGAAATGTTTGCTCTAAACAACAGACTTATTTGCAAAGAATTTCTAGATCGAACTCCGGGACTTGATTTTCTAAGATTTTAGTTTCCCAGAGATCCTGGTTTCAGGACTTTCGATGAAATCTTTATATACATCACATTAGATTGGAAATTCGTTCAGCTGTTCAAATTCCTTCTAGCTATTATGGTCGACGGGGAAGATTAAAAATAAAGGTGGGCCAATAATTTTTCGATCCACTGTACTTATAGAGACAACGATACTTGGGCTCACAAGAGCAGTTGAAAAAATAAGCAGCACTTTAGAATTTTCAGATACACGGAGTAGTGTTACTTCTACTATTCCTATACTTTTGTGAAAACAAGTGTTATTTGCGAAAGAAAATAACTTACCAAGGTTGTACTACAGCATCCGAATTGAAACAAGCGTCGTCAAAATTATCCACTACCAGAGCTCCTGGCACTGCAGAAAATACTGACGATTCTTGTTCAAATAAACGTTGCCCGGTTTTTTCTTCATAACGAACTTTTTCTTTGAAAAAAACAACAACAACAATTAAGTACTCCAGTTAGAATCTAAGGCTTACCATGAAATAATTCTCGAATATCAAAAATTGCTTTTAATTCACCACGTTGAAATAGATTATTTTTGTAATGTACTTTCAAAGATGTCATCTCATCTTTTGGTTCACCACAAAACAGTTTTTCCTTTTCACATTCAATAATCATTGTTAATAATTCTTCAATTTTATCTGGCAATGAATTATTATCTATTGTTGTTGAAATAAAAATTTGGAAAAAACACGACAAATTGCACATCTGTGGTTGGTAAATCTGGTATTTTCATTGCTACTTGAATTAGAGCAGGATGATTTTGTTGATTTCCTGCTTTTATACGATCATTGAATGCTGCTACGATACTTTCGATGTCGATAGAAAACATTTGTGATTTTTTGATTAAACATCTAACATCCTTCAAATACAGAAACAAAAGACAATTTCAACAAAGAGATTTCAACGGAATGTTGTTCCTTTTTTCATGCATACCTCATAACAATTTTCAATTGTTTCTGTTTAACTGCTCTTTAATTTGTATCAACACAAACTCAATGATATTTTCTAAATTAAGATATTCAATAATCTAAAACATATTCTAAAATTCTGTAATTTCAAAATTCTACAATTCAACAATTTTAAAATTCTAGTACTATTGATTCTAGTACTAGTACTAGTAGTAGTACAGAAACGGCATTTCTCAAGGTATATTCAAAAGATGCGAAGAAATTAATCATAAACTGATTTGTTTATAAAACTCTCTTCACTGAACCTAAAATAAATAAAAACTTAGGGATGCAAAATTCATCTCGAGACGAAGTTGAAGAGAAAATAATCAACTATGTACGTTGAAAGAATAGTCCAAAAGTTATTACGATGAAAAGACTATGCTTGGCTGCTGTCTCCAATATTTTTATTCATTCTT